GTGTGCTCCTTCACAGGTACGAGGTAGAGACAAGCCAGCCCAGTTAGTTACCGGGGCTTGCAGGAGAACAAAGTAGCTTGCAACACTCCCTTCAGAAAAGAACGGTAGGCCATGGCACTCTATTTAAACCTGGGGCTCCCTACTGAGTTTCTTTAGGCCAAGAAAGATGGCTATTGAAGGAAGTCCAAATACACTCAGTTTTCAATAAATGCCATTTAACCTTGCTTCTGTTTTGGCCTTGCCGTGCACTGGCGCACTGGCACGCACTATCTAGGGTTCTCAACACCTTGGCTTCCCTCGTCCCCACGGGCCTTACCTTGTGCTGGGTGGTGTTTTGAAGTGCCAGGTGTCCGGTGGGATGTTTCGTATAGAGGTTGACCCTTCGGACGCCATCCCCCTCCACCCAGGACTTATCCGGGTCCTCTGCTTTTCTTGGGGCTTTTCCAGTATGAACACTAGGAAGAGGAAGAGGGCTCTCAGATTCCTAGACCTTTATCGCCAACCCGGACCTGATTCCAAGCTTCGGCTCCACATGTCCAGGGATCTGCAGGATGTCCCCTCCTCCGCCTCCAGTCTTTCCGCCCTCCCATGCATTTCACATACTTTCTGCAGATTACACTCCCCCCGACCCACAACCCTGATCATATCATCTCCGTGTTCGCAAATGTTCCCCGTTTCCCATTCCCTACCAACTGTGCCATTGCACGCCCACTGTAGTCTTTCCTTCCAGGAAGGCCCTCTCTAGGTCTCAGGTGCAAATCATTCCATCACTTCCAGGCCCACTTCCAAGCTCCGCCTCCTCCGTGGCCCCTCTTGGGAACTACCTTTTTAAAGACATATCTCCTGCTTCCTACAGAATATACAGTATGTTTCCTTTGTGCCTGTCTTACCACTTTAAATTCCAACCAAGTAGATTCCTAATCATTTTGTTTCCATTCCTTACATCTAACCCAAAGCCACACCTGTGTGAGAGATACCTATTCACCCAACAAACTTTTCTCAGGCACTCTATATTTGTTAATGAATGGGATTTACAAAATAGTTTAAGTCTAGAAAGACGACTTAAGTGCATTTCAGAAGTGCCTCAATTTAAGTAGCATGAACTTCCATACATTTTAGGTGTGGTGAAAATGCCCATTTTACTAGGCCTACACCAACATTATTGATCAACTCAGGGAGAATTTAATTATTTGACAAGTATTTGTTTAAAAAAATTATTTTTTTTTACTTTAAGTTTCCATTAGGGTTTGGAAGTATGAATCCATTTTCTGACTAAGTGGTTATTAGCCAAGACAGCAAATTATCTATTGGGTAAAGACATTGCTGCTATTTCAGGATCTGGAAAGGATGGTGCTAGGAGTAGATTATCCATAATACCTGAGTCGTGTCTGTCAGCATGCGTGATATGGAAAAGCAGTCTTTGGAAATGAAATCTAATTCCGCTCCCTAAATTACTCATTGCCCAAATGGGTTATAGAGAATAACCTTTAGTATACCAATTGTTTGGAATAGCTGAGTTCTCCATGTGCACAGCTTGAATTCCGGGTGACTGCAAAGACTCTTGTGTTGGTTATCAGCGTGTGGTGCCACTGCCTTAGCATAGATACTTTTGTATTTTTTTCAATTGTTCTCCAAAGGAAAAATTAAAACTATCTAGCTGAAAAGACATACATGTTTTTTTATTGTTCCTTAAGCCATCTTTTTTTTTAACCTTTATGATATTTATGGAAATGTTTCTTTTGCTTGGATTTCAATTTCTGAGGTTTGATGAAATTAATAATAAAGGGGAGAAATGTCTGCTTATTATAGCAAAATGTGTCTCTTATCATGCTTGGTAAAATAAATAACTTTAATATAAGGTTAGCCTGAAATACTCTTATGTGTCTCAGTTGATACAATGTAGATGAAGAATGTGTTTCTTCATATATCATCATTCTGGTGTTTTGGGATATATATGCATATACACACAATATCAAACATAATAGATTTTTGGAATTTTTTGTTGAATAAAGTATTTGAAAAATATTTAATGTAATCTGACTAACATCATTACTGACTATGCTTTAACATCTCAGGTTGGAATTTTCATTGGCAAGCTGACTTGCAGAGAGAGCTTGGATAGGTTAAAGTAAAGTAGTAGTAAAGTCAGGAGAGTGAACATATTTTAAACGTGAAAAGCATAAAGGTGAGAATTTACGTTTTTGGAGACTAAAATATTAGAGTTGGGTTTGAAAAATTTTGTAAGTCAAATAGAAAGAGGGGTAGAATGTATTAAGCAAAGCCAAGGAAAAACAAAAGCTAGGTCTAAAAGGATTATTTAAGAATGACTTGAACCCCATTAAAGGCAAAACTATACAAACATGTAAAGGTGGGAAGTGTGTGTGTGTGTGTGTGTGTGTGTGTGTGTGTGTGTGTGTGTGCTAGAACGATATACATT